TGCACCAGGGGAGGTTTAGGTTGTATAAGAGGAATAATTGCTTCCCTGCCAGGGTTGCCCAGGGCAGTGGTGGAGTCCCCACCCCTGGAGGGGTTTCCAAGCCGTGGAGATGTGGGGTGAGGGACATGGTTAGTGGTGGACTTGGTGGAGTTGGGCTACTGGTTGCCTTTCATGATCTTAAAGGGTTTAAGTACTGATCTTAAAGGTCTTAAGTCATCACCAGCCCCACCTTTCTCCCACTGAACAGTGGTGATGTCTGCTCCTCCTCCAGCCTACAGCTGGGGTGTCCATGGTTCTTTCTGTGTCAGGGTGGGATCTGAACCCCTTGTTTTGCACTGCAGGTTTCCTCACCCATTTCTGGGTTTAGTTCACCAAAAGTGTGAACAATGGTGTAGCTGGTCACCTCTGGGGCTGAGACCTGGTTGTCCTCCAGTCAGTATTTGCATCTTACTATTCAAATTCATTTGGGTAGGGTCAGTGCTATGACCTTTCTCAGTCTTCTGTGAAGGTGACTGGTGGTCCTAGGGAGCAGGCCAGGATGGGAAGGGTGAGCTGGTCAAGCACAGGAATCATTTTATGGCAGTTCCATTCTTTCACACATTTCTCACATTTATCTGACTATTAAAAGCCACCTTCTGCAGAGCAGCCACAGAGGCTTCGACATGCAGACAGCTCCTGCAGTGTGCTGAGATAGTGCTGAGCAGCTCTGCAGGTGGGAAGTGGAAGGTGACACAAAGCTGAGTGGCCCCTGGTTGTTTTTCCCCCACCCAAAACCATTCCCACAGGAAGAGCCCTTGGCTGCCTGTGCTCCCTCGCTCGGGTAGCAGAAGAGCCTCCAAGGATTTGTGCAGTGGGGGCTCTGTGGAGAGGCAGGTGCTTGCTGCCCACTGCCTGGGGGTCCTGGCTGGTGCACAGCGTGTCTTTGTTGGCCAGGTTTCAGGCTGACTTCTCCTACATGGAGCACTGAGTGTGTGGAATCCCAGTTAATTGCCTTGGAAGCCGTGTTGGGTTGTGTCTCCCTGGGTTTGGCTGTGGCTTGTTTTTTTGTTGGTGGCTTTTTGCAATCCACCTGTAAAGACCTTCTCCTTCTTGCCTGGAGGGTGGGCAGGGCTGGCTGTGGAGGAGACAGCACTTGGTGTTTTGCTGCTCAGTGCACTCCACCCTTGGAAGGGGTTGATGCTCTTTAAGGCAGGTAGGCACCTTCTCCGACAGGTACTGTGCTGGTGATACTGGACTTGTTTTACTGCCCATTGGAGAAGTAAGTGTGCTCGGGCTCTTGGTTTGGCTGATTTGAGGCTGAAACTTCATTATCTTAAATTTCATAATATTCTGGGGGACTGGGGAGTTAAAGTTTAGCTTGTTGTTAATAAGGTTTGTTTTGTGTGTGTGGGAGGTGATCCTTAACAGCAACTCTTACCCTGTTGCTTACAGGAACGTAGAGAAGTTGCCAGACAGTTGTTTTTCTTTTGCATTCCCTTGACTATTAGATGGGGAACTGGCCCATCAGATGGACCTGGCCATTCTGAGTGAGTATGTGGAGCATGAACTGCTCAGGTCGCTCAGGAGCTGTGGGGATCCCAGGGTCATAGAATGGTGGGGGTTGGAAGGGACCTTAAAGACCATCGAGATGCAGCCTGATTTAATCCATGTCCACTTCATTGTGGAAAAACCTCCTGAAGAGCCAGGCAGGCACTGGTTTTTCATTCATGCTGCTGCTTCCCTCTCCTCCCTACCTAACAGCTTAGCTTGTTACAGTAAGCTCTCTAGAAACCAAGCTTAACTGCTGTCCTCTTGCCTTCTCCTCCTTCCCCCAACAGCGGAGGGTTATGCCGCCTTCCAGGAGGACAGCTCAGGAGATGAGGCCGAGAGCCCTTCCAAGCTGAAGCGTTCCAAGGGGATCCACGTCTTCAAGAAACCCAGCTTCTCCAAGAAAAAGGAGAAGGATTTCAAAATCAAAGAGAAACCCAAAGACGAGAAACACAAGGAGGACAAACACAAGGAAGAGAAGCACAAAGAGAAGAAGTCGAAAGACCTGACGGCGGCCGAGGTGGTGAAGCAGTGGAAGGAGAAGAAGAAGAAGAAGCCTGC